CTGTGGACTGTACCTTTGCGTCACACTAACTTCGCAAGGCAGGTTGCCTCCAACTTAGCGAACAACTCAGAAGGTGACGAAAGTGTTCCGCAAGACCCTGTATACGAACCTGCAGGTGAAGTTGACCTGCATCAAAACAATACACAACAGTAAATCAGAGTGGGCAGAATCACATCAAATGAATTCTCTGGACTCTGGACTTATTTTATCATCTTTTAATATTCTCAACACATACCCCATGCTCCTATGCTGGCCTTGGTCGATTATTAGGGAATCAACGTCGTTCTGCTTTACTATCCTTTACTACCAGTAATGAGAACATCGAACATCTATATAAATGCAGAGTTGATTTGCTCAGAGCAATTCTTAAACAACAGCTTCTTGCTCGAGGCCCTGGCGCCAAGCGGCTAGCTAGTCGCGCTGCCTGGTTGAGCAGCTGACAACGTTTCAAGAAAGTTTCAGCGCGCTGTTTCATCTCTTTCTTTCCAACAGACTGCTCTGCTGTGTTTCACGCAGTCTTGTGTTTCGAATTGTCTTCTTCAAAGAAGACCACAAGGACCTGATCGCTTATTTCCAGCCTCGCGGCGGTCTGGCAATCGGGGTGCCTTCGCCGCCTCCGCCCGGGCCTCAGGCCGATTCTCACCACTTAGCATCGAAGGCAGGTGTACATAGGTGTACCGAAACGCTTGGAACATGCTAACAGCTAACAGCATGGAAAACGTGATGTTCTTCCCAAGCGCAGCTTTTTCAAAGGGACAAGTTGGGACATTTTGGGACTTGGGACATGATGTCTTGTCTCCTCCAATTCTTCTGATTGTTGCCTTTCCTATCGGTCTGCAGGACATGAATCTTTTGGGATGCCATGCGGAGGCTGCTTGACACTGTAGAAAGTCGAAGAGGTCCGGCTTTGGTGGAAGACCCAAATGCCAGGCCTCAAGAACGCCAACTGAAAACATGTCTTGTTTTTGCCCAGAAGTGGTGCAATCTGAATCAATCTGAAATGGTAGTCTTCCAGTTTTGCTTCTGAATACAGCAATGTGTTTGAACATCCTCTGCGGTTGACCCGAGCTTGCCTCCTTTCCACGTCGAAGCCAGGCCTCCTCAATTCGTTGCTCCACCTGGTGTCGGAACAAGTTCTACAGCAATGTCATTGCGACAGGAAAGTAAAAGGTGTTGTCTTCCTTCTCTTTGTGACACTGAGCTGGTGGGATGGAAGCACAGGCATCGAACTTTGGGACTTCTCTCAAGGTAAGTTTCGATGGGTGCCGACAAAAGAAACAAAAGAGCTCATTGACTCCTTCCTTGGGTATTCGCTCTTTGTTCAATCACAAGTTTAAATTGACCCGCGAGAAGTGGCATGCCAATGTGGCCTGATCCCAAGGCCACTGCTGGCCTAGTAGCTCTCCTCCGGACTCTGTCATTGATGTGCTTGGGTGTCTTTTACCACTGGCATCATGTTGGTTGATGCTGAGAGCATGGATTGTGACTCTTGGAAACGTTGATCCTTGCAAATTAAGCACCACAATGCAAAGTGCCGTCCTGCATTGGCAAGGCCAAGGCACTTTACTAGTGCTCCAAAGCCTCCAGCCTCGGAGCTTCAACCGAACCACCTCTCTTTTGGCGATGCGATCATCCGCATGAGTCTTGATCATCTGTCAGCCCTCCATATCATTATATACTATGACTATGAAATACGATTAATAGGTCTGCATCAATGAGCTGTTCTTTTAAACTTGTGGTCTTGAGCCACTTGCCAAACCCTGGAAGGCCACTTCACGATCCTCTACCTGCAAAGATGCCAAACTGCACATTCATTCATTAATTGGTTTTCATCATCAGCACAGGTTCCAAACATGGACCGCAGCGAACATGCCTAACAATCCCTCTGAACAGCTTCCCACTGAATGCCGTGTTCTCGTTCGCGCCTTCTCAGGCTTTCCCTTTGATGCTCGCACCTCAGCCATTGTCGCGAAATGTGGCAGGAGCTTGAAGCAGCAAAACAGCCAGCATAACTCAAGAACGTAGCACGGAGACCCTACCTTGCGCGTTTTTTTCATGAGTCAACATTCAAGTCATGTCTGGTTGCTGCGCTCAATCTCGATCCCGGACGCGCCCACGGGGGAGTTCCTTTTCGAGCAAGTCCAAGCGCAAAGAGAGGCCTTGCCACCAATCGAGTTGCATTGAGTTTTGTCACACCGAACCCTTTGCAAAGCTTTGCTTGGAAAAGGTCTGAGTCACTTTGTGACTCGCTTTCAATCCCTCAGGGTCTTGCTTTGAGGCAGCACTGTGATCTTGATTTTGTTTACAGCATGCTAGCACGGAACTACAAATCCTTCAGACAGCGTTGTCTCACACTCCCGCTTTGGACGATGCCTTCAACGTTTTCTTGACACCCCTGGGAGACCTCAGCTCAAGCTGTAGCAGTGTGACTCTTTCTGCAAGCATGGCAGCTAATTTGTCCATAGAAACGTTCTTCCATGGAGATGAAAAAGAATCTATATCTTATGATATCTTTTGTGTATACAATAAGAGCTATTGGGTTGGAGGCCATCGCTATTAGGTTGGGGGCCATGGCTATTAGGTTGGAGGCCATTGCTTCTAGGTTGGAAGCTATTAGGTTGGAGGCAATGCAGTCTGGACAAAAGCTGGGCTTGGAACTTTTGTAATCCTCTGTTCGGATTCCTCCTGGCAAGCGACAAGCTGGGCTGAAGGATGTGAATACAGTTTGGTCCTCAAAACCCAGCTGCCTGAGATTCGAGGATGAATTTCTGCATGGATTCGGCCATTCTGAGGAGCTGTTGGTCGACAGCCTTGACACTGTTGGTCGATGTATCTCCAAACTCACAGCAGCCCATGCGGCATTAAGTGGTTCTTTGGCAGTCTTTTTCCCAGGTCTGGCATGTTTGAATATCATTCACAACAGCTATGCCGCAAATGCCTCTGCAAACTCCGCAAGTTCTTCTTGAAAAGTCTCACGACCTCTCGTGCACCAATGTGCGTACGCGATGCTGGCTCCAGGCTCAACTCTCAACACAGCTGAGTTTCCGTCTACATCTAGGAATCGTTTTGATCATGCGAACAGTTCTTCAAGGAAGCTTCTCCCACCCTCAGGAGGGAGTAGTTTACAGAACCTTCCTTTTCTCTGCCTACTTGTTCCTCCTACCATTCTTATGCTACTTAGATCGTCTTGGATCTACTTTACTCCGCAGGTCCAAAGGTTCAAAGCCAAAAACAAGGAAACCTTTTGCACCTCCTCCAAAAAAAACAGGTGTGTCACCTGTAGGTGTCCAGCCTCCGTGCTCCGCTGGCGCACCTTTCTCCTGGAGGGGTCGGCTTCAGGTTAATCAACTGTCATACAGAAACTCCGATTGCATGGACTGTAGTCGTCCCTAAATAGACGGAAACGGTTTCCTGTACATGTTTAGTGAGGATTTACTTTTCTATCTATTTGGGGGTCTTGGGTCTATCCTAATACCTGGAACAGTGGATGATGATGGTTAGTAAAGGCCTTGTTCAAACATAGTAATAATTGTTTACTGACTGTTACAGGTAATAGGACAAACCCAATGGGGGTCTATATAAGCATCTGGATTGCCATGGAGATCCGCCCATTGGCCAGTTTCTCCTGGGAGCTTGGTCGGTCTCTAAGCTCTTCTTGTAGCTTACCAATCCAGGCCTTGATTCGATTCGGGTGGGTTGCAGGCAGCACTCGCAAGATGTGCTTACAATGCTGTCAAACAGTAAGGCATACTTCCACAAAGCGACAAGATGCATCTGCTACACAGCAAACAAAAGCAAAAACGTGCTGTCTTGCCTTCACCTCTGTTTTCAGCGAGGTAGACATGTTCATCACCTCCTACGCTGAACTGCTCAGGCCAAAGAGCAGCTCAAATGAAATGAAGGGGGATGGCAGGAGTTGCTGACAGACTTCAGTTCTACAAGAAACACATTAAAAGACTGCAACCTCAAACAAACAGGTCGGCTTCAGGAAAAGAACACATGAGAGGATAAAAGTAAAAGTCCTAGCTGTTGTTAAACAGGTCCAACTACATACCCCAGTCAGGAAATGACCAGATCTGATGTTTTTCTACGGCGGTGCTCAGCAACATCCTTTCATTCGAGACTCTTTCAATCACCAAAGTCATCTATTAGCGAGCGTCTTGGTGTAGTTAGTTGGGAACCGTGTAGTTTAGGGAACCAAAAACGAGAAAGAAAGGTATCTTCAGCGAAAAATAAGGACACAAAGGCAAGATCAACAAAATTCCCCCGGGAGTCGCCTCTTGCAGCTCTGAGCAGCATGCGGCTGCAGCTTCCTTGACCGCCACATTGGGGTAAACACATGCTAAACACTGGACACTGAGGGATGCAGTGCGCCAACACAGATGCAGCGTGATGAATCTATGCCAGTCATGGTAGACCTGAAGATTGCAGAGATGCTGATCCGCCGAGGGGGAAGGTTTTGACCCGCACCCCATGCCAATCAATTGATATTGATTGAACACTCACAATAAAGACTAATAGCCAAATGCATACTGTACAGTACATGTTACATGTTACAGCTGGATAGCTTTTCCAAAGTCGACTCCACGCTGTCGTAATCCTTCCTAATCCATTCCCGCTGGCCTGCGCCAGTGCTGCAGCCTCTTTGGCAGCAGTGCTAGAAGCCTCAAGTCAAGACTCAACGAACTTATTGAATGACCTCAGGTGTGTGCGCCCAACCTGCTTTCATTGGGCCAACACAATCCTTTCTCCCTGATGCTCCTGAAGACACCTAGAGCTCAACCGAGTCAGCACGCCCTTTCTGCCTCTGCCCACTTCTAGTATTGCATGTCCGGTCCAAGCACTGTGGCTTGAGACCCCATTGCATGATTGTACCCCGTGCGTCGTCTTGAATCTTTGCATCGTGCGAAACTTACAGTAGATCATTTGTGTGGCTGAGTTTGCTTGGCACAGCAGCATTCTATCATACATATCATGTACATTGTGAATAATTACATGTAGTTTGAATATCTTTGAATGCATTCGAGCTCAATCACGTCCACACCTGGCTGCTGCGCTGTCCAAGAGCCTTGATCTTAGCTCTTACCGCCAGCCAGAATGCAATAAAATTCAATATGGCACTATATGGCAAACGGGAAGGACAAACAGAGACTCCCAGTCCATCCTCCAAAATGCAAAATAAGTAGTGCGTTGGCCCGATCTAGTTAGGTCAGGTTTTGAGTAGTTTCATGCTGCTTAGCTTTGACACGAACTTCTTTGCAATCTTGGGCTGTAAGTTGGCAAAGTTTGTGTCCTCAACGAAAACCGTCGCATGCTGCGCAGCAAATGCGATGCATATGTCCTGGATGTATCTCATCATTGACATCACTGCTGTATCCATCACAGCGGCATCTTGATCTTCAGGACAGGCAGTCAAATTCAACACGCCGCATACATTTGACAACGTAAGTCCTGTCCAATAGTCTCAAGAAACAATGCAGTTGTAAAACAATGCGAGACTATTAACAATTTCTTGCACCAAACTTTTTGTCACCCCAAATATCCTTGCTCGACACAGTCAGACGCCAAGGTCAGCAGATCCATCTTGATGCAATGTTCCAGAAACGAGCACAAGTTCTCACTGTTCACGCTTCTTCGTAATGCACTAGCACACAGCCCTTGCAAACCAGTCTCATCTCCGTATTCATCGGCAAGCTTAAGCAGCTCCAGAAGGGTTTGGGGATCCGCACCTTCTACCTCATCCTCATGTAAGTACTTGCCATAGGCTTGAATGGCCTTCCATGAATAGTTCTGAATCTTGAGTTCGACTCGGCCATCCTCCAGCTTGTGTACATGATCCATCTTGCTATTTTGCACCATCTTAGTCAAAAATAGTGAGCGAAACCGGATTGTATCCCACCCAAAGTAAATGGGTGTTTTCTGGTCTTGCACAAGAATGCAAATGTCGCAAGCATCCGGAAGATCAAAGGGTGCACGGTAGCGCTGCGTCACTGGCTGCATGCACACAAAGCGAGAGCCAACCACCAACGATTTGGACTCCCACGGCAGAAAGTCCTCGATCACATGACGGCTGCCCAGCAACTCGTTTGCTGCCCCGGCAAGATGAAACACTCCGTGCTCGTCCATCAGCACAGAAACTTCCAGCATGGGGTTGGCGAAAATGTCGATGACACGACCCCTGACCGTTTCTGGCAGTTTGACTTTTGAATAGTTGTGACTCGACCGCAAATGAGCGCCCAGTTGACCTATCTGTCCAGACCCACAGCCATAAAGATCACCTATTGAAGACAAGAATAGCGAATGATTAGAGCCACAGCAAGCTTTGACGATCTGCTCGCTGCATCCCAGGCATTTGGGGGTAAAGGTGTTTTGCCCACCGTTCCCGCATTGGGCATAGTCACCATTTCCAAAGGTATGCAATGACTCCTGCTCGCATATCACAACAGAATGCCATCTCCCACATGCAACAAAAGTTGCAAATCTCTGAGAGCCTGCGTCCGTCTGTAGTGATACTACCGCCTGGCCCAGCTCTTGCACAGGACTGGTATTTCCGAGCCCAAGCTGACCATATTGATTGGAGCCACAAGGGTAGACCTGCCCATCTGTAGTCAAAGCCAAATAGTGCTCATCGCTGCAGGCAAGCTGGATCACCTGCTGGGCGCTTCAACATGTGATTTGCCAAGTCTTTTTGGCTACTGCGCACTGATTTCTTGCCAGAAAACCGTTTTTCCCCAAACAGTGTGGACACACTAGAGATTCTTACGGTAATAATTAAGCGTCGGTGTCAAATCGAGGTGTTGCACCGACGTGTCCGGCTCGCTGCTATTTACAGTGCTTCATGCCTCTCGAAATCCTCCAAGTGCATTTCGACTGCGCAGGCTCGCAAAAGCAGCGCTTTTGACACATGATGGTGATCTTCGACGCGCTCTAATTTCGTGACAGGTGCAGTGAATCGTGACTTTTTTGTGCATGTGGCTCGTTTTCAGAAATCGTTGCAGACGAACACTTTGTGAGCCTTGAAGCGGTGAACCTCCATGTGCAGATTTCGTTGCAGGCGCAGCACTTTGTGAACCTCGAAGTGCAGATTGCGTGGCGTGCGCAGTACTTTGTGCACCTCGAAGTGCAGATTTCGTGGCAGGTGCGGCACTTTGTGAGCCTCGAAGCACAGATTTCGTGGCAGGCACAGCACTTTGTGCACCTCGAAGTGCAGATTTCGTAGCAAGTTGAGCATTTTGTGAACCTCAAAGCGCAGATTTCGTGGCAGGCACTGCACTTTGTGAACCTTGAAGTACAGCACTTTGTGCTCTCAGATGCCTCTCACTCTCTCTGACTCTCACTCTCGCCTGCCACACTCACACACACGTACGCTCACTCTCATTCTACTCTGGTCTCTGACTCTCACCCTCACTCTCACTCACTCTGACTCACTCTCACTCACGCTCTCACCCACCCACTCCTCTCGCTCGCACTCTCTCACTCTTTCACTCTCACTCACTCACTCTCACACCCACACTCACACTCACTCACACTCACACTCACTCTCACTCTCATCACTCTCACTCTCATTCTCACTCTCTCTCTCTCACTCTCTCTCTCTCTCTCACTCTCGCGCTCTCGCTCTCACACGCTCACTCTCACTCTCACACGCTCACTCTCACTACTCTCATCACTCTCATCACTCTCACTCTCACTCTCACTCTCACTCTCTCTCTCTCTCTCTCGCTCGCTCTCCCTCTCGCTCGCGCGCTCTCGCTCTCACAGGCTCACTCTCACTCTCTCACTCTCACTCTCTCACTCACCCTGACACTCTGTTTCACTGACTCTCACTCTCACTCTCACTCACACTCACACTCACCCTGACACTCTGTCTCACTCACTCTCACTCTCACTCTCAATCTCACTCACACTCACCATCACCTCTCTGGACCCCAATGCGTCTAGATCTCTAGACTTTCTGCTGCTACACCTCTAGACCTCACACACACTGTTTGGTGTCTCTTACCCGGATAATTTCTTGATGTTCAAGTTGTTTGGCATGACTTCATTTTGCAAGTTTTTCTGGACATCATGCCAGTGTGCCATGAGGTGTCAAGTCGCACCTTTTTGGATGGTAAGAGCCGAAGCATCTCAGATCCAGTTGCATGCATCGAGAACAGTTCCAGCGTGTGATTCAGCACCAAAGCCTCAGAAAGGCACCGAAGCCGCAAGGTTCACAGGCACACCTACTTTGAGGTGCGTGACCAGTCAAGTTTCCACAGTAAAGCTATTGAGCAACATTCAAAACCAAATCGGTCATTCAGAAGCGCCTCCTGGGCTGTCCCAGTGATGTGCACCGATGTAACATCTTGTCGCCTCTGTGCCTGAAGCTCCCAAGGCCTTGGCCTTGTCCCGCATGATAGGATCTCTTGTGGCGTGCTTTGATCAGCTTTCAAGCCAACACCGAAGAGCTTGTCGTCCTTACCTAGGAACACAAGCTTCTCATCGAGGCCAAATCGGTGCACAACCATCTTCATTCCCCTCCTGCCATGCCAGCAAGTGTGTTCAACAATGAAGTCACTTCACATGTTCCATGCATCGTGCCTCAGGACTCCAATTCTCTGGCCTTTTGCAAAACCCATAGCTGATAACTGCTACACACATCAACTATTGCTGCCTTTGGTTCCCAAGTCTCCCACACCTCAGCTGCTGCAACAGCGAATCTTTCACTGAGCTCTTATCTTCGTAGGACAGGCCCTGAAGCAAGAGGATCAAAATGAATGGCAACCAATTCAATCGTGTCAATTAATGTCCAAAAATATCAACAGTTTCTATTCTATATATATAAATCTATATAATATGTATATACTACAATGTAATATTCGGAGCCTCCAACATGGGTGCAAATGACAAAGGCGTCACCATCATGGATTGCCACTTCGATGCACCGGGCGCAACCCGCCGAGACAAGACGCGCTTCGGGCCCTTCGCAAATGAGAAAGGCTGCAGGGCGCACAAACAATGCCGAACAGCAGTCGAATCTGCTACTGCTTATGCAAAGTGTGCTGGACAAGAAACGGCCATCAACATCTTCAACTCGCTTTAACAAAAGACTCCAACTCCTACAATCGTTTGGGCTCTGGCAAACGCTGCAAGTTCTTTCACTTCGGCCTGTCTTTGGATCGTTGGACAATGGAGGCGACCGTTCGAAAGGCTTGGCACAAACGAACGGAATCCATTGAGTCCAACTCAGTGCCAACAAGGTTTCTTCAGTGAGGACGTTCATAATCTTGCATATCATATATACAGTATTAGACAATTTAACGCGGCTCGAAAGCACCCAGACCTACCTACAAACATCCAGATCCTGCTTTTTTTCCTACGAATGGCTGTATCCACGAGGGGCGCTCTTTTCCAATTCCCATGCAGGCGCCTCCAAAGCACACAGCCTTGCCTGAATGCATACCCCACGCCAAAAACTTGTGTTTCAGGGGGGTCAACCCCTGGTGGTATGGCATTCTGCTCTTGAAACATGAATGTTGTTCCCTGGACAAACCTCATTTTGGCAACCCCGTCTTAAATTTTGTCCACCCAAGCCCAGGCCAAAAGAGCTTGTGCAAGAATTTGTGACCTATGAGGCAGCCATACCTCAGCCATACCTTCATGCATTTCTCGGCAATTTCCAAGTCTTCAGTTGTTCCTCTAGTGGTCCCAAAACACAACGAGCTTGGGTGTCGGAACATGGCTTGGCGTTTCTTCTTTTCTTGGATCACTGAATATTTCAAGTCGGCTTTCGGTCCAGCCTTCAATCCATTGCCCTCCTTTGGCAGCTTCGGCGGCCTGGATGGCTCTGGTTCCTGGACATCATGGTTTTTTGATGTGGCCGTTCTGTCTAGTGTACTTCTTTCTGGCAGCAAATTCTGAGACATATTCTGGCACTTTGGGTATACACATGCATTCACATGCACCTAATTCTTCCATTTCAGTTGCAAACTTGTGGTGCTTTTGGTAAAACTAACGCTAAATATAGTCCAAATCTTTCATGGCTTTTTGCATCTGGAGGCAGTCCTGCACCTCATGGGTTTCATCTGGAACCTCTGCGCCGTAGCTGCTATCAACCTTCGCTGAAGCGGCTTTCGACCACCAGAGTCATTACCCTATGTTGACCTCCGTCCAGATGGCGCGCCCTCCAAACCAAGCTTCTCTTCGTGCAGGTCATTAGGGCAGTCTTTCTCGCCGACCATCCAAGCTCCAGGAACCAAGAGCGAGCGCCCTGCGCCGCACCGCGCCTCCACGCCCGAACCGGTCTCCGTGGCATCCTCGAGTCACGGGAGCTTGTGAGCTTGCACCTTTGAACATGATTCCCCGCGCTGCCGCACTGCAGCACAAAAAAGGACAGAATTAATCCAACACCACCGACAAGCTCCAGGCTGTTTTAACTGGTCCGTCTTTTTGTTTGTGCCACAGTTCGAGCATTGTAAATGGTCCTCTGGCGATGCTGTTGATGGTGTCTGTGGCCTGCACAGCTCAGTTTATCAGCAAACATCTGCTATCTCGCGCAATCATCAAACTGAGCTTAACCACTAGAGTACTGGACTCCTGAACATGCAACTCACAAAAAGGAGCAGCACCACTTGAAGAAGAGTCCTAAACGTTGGGAGCATCCAACATCAACATACATCAACTCATGGGATCTCATTGCACCACCCGCCGGGCACCACCCGCTTCCTCTCCTTGAGCTGCGCTCCTGTCGTCAGCAAGGGGCCCTGAAAACATTTGATAACACATCTTTAAGAATTCTTTCAGAATATGCCTGATGTTGCTCTACTTACAATATCTTAATTACAATGTGATAAGGCACTACAAGTGTCATCTTTCATCATCTTTCAGTCTCCCGATGAGAACCATTTTGGTGCCTTCGGCGACCCGTTACACATCAGCTAGAATCGTTCCCGGTACTTCGTCGGCAAAGTCGGCAGGTCGTTGAATGGTCGTTGACTGTTTGATTGTGCAGAGATGATGACTGTTGAATACTGCTTCTATTTATCCCCCTGTTAGGGCTGGTGTGCAGCGACCGCGGGGTCAAAAACACTGGAAAACTGAAGGGCGGCCAACATATCACCCGAGACCGCAGAACAAAGACCTATATACTAAAGCAGCGGTTCATACCCTGCAGGTTATGAACCGCTGCTTGATAGCAGCTACATGCAGCTACAGGCAACCGTCCGTTCAACGAGCTTCTTCAAAGTAAAGGCCCACTACCTACCTCAATCTGCTGTGGCCACATCAGCATGCAGGTAACCACACCTGTCCAGCAAATGTATTCAATATATTCATACCCCTAAGATGTGAACCGCTGGTGCCCGCGTGTGGCGTGTCTAAACCCTCCTTGGGATCGTCCCTCGCTTGGCAAGCTTGGCGCGGCAGATCAGCTTCGTCTGAAGTATTGGACCTCAGATGCGTCAAGGGTGGCCAGCGCTGTAGCAGGTCACCGATACTGTGCGCAGGCTGACAGGCTGAGTCTATCACGGAGACTGGCCAGAAACTGGCGCAAGGAATGCCAGGTGCACAAGTGTGTCGTGTGTCGTGTGTGTGTGTCTACTTTAGGTCGCAACATTTGACAGTCTCAGGAAGAGTTCTTTGCTGACTTGCCCTTTCAACAAAAAAAGTAACTGGTTTTTTACACTCTTTAACGGCAACCAAGCAAACTCGCATAGAAAGTAAAGTGCAACATCAAAGTGCAGTGTAACATGATCCGATTGTTGGATTCGATATGGATTTGACATCAACTGCGAACAAGCCGCCTCTTCATATGGTCAAACTCGCAAACTCAAACTGACTTTCGCAGCCCAAATCCAACTCCCCGCCTTCGGTCGGCTCTTGGGTTGGCTCTGTAGTGGTTTCTTGTGCACCTTTCGGAGTCGCAGATGCCTGGCTGGCGAAAATGACCAAGAAAAAATGCTTCCGACTTGCCAATGTCTGACTGAAACAATATGAGAATGTACAAGTTGGAGTATATCATTGTAGTGGGCAGCCAGCAACAAGAACCCCAAAAAGGACGCCCGGTGCCTCGCATTCCTCGGCCGGATCTTTGGGCTGACGCTCGGCACCTCCCAAGTCTGACGGGGTTTCTGAGTGGTTCGAACACCTCCACAGCGGTTGATTTCAATCCCTAAATCTCCAGCGGTGCCTTCCGCCTCCACCTTTTGCAGCACGCACTCCTAAACGAACGTCGGGCTTCGTCTTGTCTTGCACGTCAGTGTGGGTAGACGTCTTTAGTCCACTTCTGCCGACAGTCGGAGCTTTGCTGATTATGTGTCAATCTCTTCATATTCTTTGAAAGAGATTGAAAGCGGTGCAGTTCGCCCAGCGGTCCTGGCATGCATGGAAGTAGCAGCCCTCGCTGCATCTGAAATGTGTCTGCCTGAAGTGGGGCCAGCCTGATTAGTTTTAAAATAACATACAATAACTATCGCAACATGTCCTAACTAACTAACCAATTAACATTAATTCAATTAATTATCTAACTTGCTCCCCTTTGCTTCACTCGTATGCCTTCAGAGATTGTATGTAACACATCGCCTCTGCTTGTCTCCCTTCAGGATCCAAAACCCCGCCTTTGGCACTTGCAAAACCCACACTGCTTCGGTGGGCCGTCGACCTCCTCCTCCGGCCTCGAGTGTCAGGGAAGTGCTGGCTCGTAAACCCCCGTCACCACTCACAAGAGCTTCTTCTTTCGACACAGCCACTGGGAGCTGTATAAGCATGTATATTTGCTTGTATTTGCACTTTTCTGTACGCAAAGCCACCAACTTCGCCTTGCAATGATTGCAATGCGAGATAATGTTGTGACTTACAATACCTTACCAGTATGCCTTCATTGAAGAAAAATCTTCTCAGATTCTTCTGAGGTGAACACTCCAGGGGGTGGCCTCGCAGACAGCGAGGACCTGGATCAAGCCATTGAACGTAATTTGCCAGCTCAGTCTACCATCATTCGCCGGAAAATGCTGCATACACTGATGCAAAAACGTGGAATATACAGGAAAACACAATTGGTCAAGGGAATCATTGATAAAATCACTGATTAAATTAAACATATTAAACATCTTGACTAAAATTGGTGACAAACCATTGGTAGTATCAATATGTATCAATGAATTCAACATTGTTGATTCAAATGAATGGAATACCCTGAATGTTCAGCCTCCAGAGTCGCCTTCCTCTTGGGTCCTCACGAAACAGTTTTCTAACTTGGCAGTCGTACGAGCTGATTGCCTTTGAGTCTTGTGAATCGTTGCAGCAAGTGACTCTCGCACTGTCTTAATTTGTGTGAATTGATGAATTGATGCTCATTGACGTTAATCGAAGGGAAGAACAAAGACACAAACCGCTCTCTCCACAGTAAAAACAATGCGCCGCATCACCATGTGTCAGGTGACCATCCCCACCAAAAAAGATGCTGGTCAGATGTTGGTCGTCTGTGCACATCTCCTCATTGCCTCATCCTCATCTGGTTGCCAGGGCCTGAGCAGAACCGGTATGAAGGACACCTTGGAATAGAACTCCAAATGCAGATCCTCATCCTATCTCTGAGCATCAAAATAATGAAAACGGATCGTTGCAGCCCAAGCAGCGGCAATCCCATGATGGTCTCGATGCGACTGGTCCGGCAGTGCAGAATTCCCAGGCGCTCAAAAATGGCCTCGCTCTCAAATGGATGGCCGCTGGGCGGGGGACCGAATGGCCACATTAAATTTTGACCGTCCCACAATGTCTCTTTAAAAGCAAACATGGCAAAAAAAACACAAGGACATTGTCCCCACATGTCACATATGATAAAATTCATATTACATTACATCTAACCAACTTGACGAGGCAGCTCTTGTCTCACTTCGCAGTTGGTTCAAGTGAGAAATAGTAGTTCTTGGGCAAGCCTAGCGTAGGCTCAACTTCCTCATCTGTAGTTTTGAAAACTACTGACCGAGCCTGAAGGATCTCTTCTGACTCCCCAGCCAATCTTTGGCAACCCTGTCAGGCAATGAAGATCTCTGGCAGTCCACTACACTAAGCTTTGACACATATATTTAACAGCTCTTGATCCAATAATAGTAGTAGTACTAGTAATAGTATCTTGACTTTCTGTGAACATTGTTCATGTGCTAAAAGCTCACTTGTGTGCCCTGAAGTTCCTTTCATGAAAGCATGGCTCAATTTCACCAATGGGCAAACCACATCAGGTCTACGGAGGCTACTAGTAGCGATGCCCTTTGCTCCTAGTAGTTTCTAGTTCCTAGTAGTAAGGCCAGGAGCTACTAGTAGCAACCTTGCTCCGTTCGTAGCGATGCCCTCTGCTCCTAGTAGCTTCTAGT